TGCATTCGTTAGGGATAACATACTCTAGGGATATTATCTCATTTTGATAAAATTAAAAGACAAAACTTGAAAAAAAGAAAGAACAATGTATTAGTTGAAAAGGAACATATTATTATTTAATACTAATTTATTTTTTATATACAAAGTACATTTCTCATATTTTACATTAAATGAGGTTTTGTCATAAACTATGACATGTTTCTTGAAGTTAGTTACTTGAAACATGTTAGAGTGTCTTATGGGTTATAATTTAATTATTCTGCCTTTTAACTTATTAGATAATCTTACTAAATATTGTGTCTGTCACCAAAATTCTGGATTTCTTTGTAGCAGGTATCTATGTCGCAGCCAACTAGCTTAACTAGCCGTTCAATTAACAGCCCAGCCTTTTTACTAAACGGCGCCGTTCAACTAGCGGCCTGAATGATATTCGGCCGTATCGCTTAATACAGCATTTTATGAACTGACCATGTGATAAGAAAAAGATGAAATATCTGACATTAGAAAATGTTTTAAGTAATTAACAATCACTTAAATAAATTAATTGTTAATTACTTAAATAAACATTTTTGCTAAGTAAGCCCAGATATTTAAAAAATCTTCAACAGCTCTTTTTGTTTTAAGCGAACGCAGATTCAGAAATTTGGTTACGTTGTTTTGACAATTTAAAAGCCAGACGGGACAGGGTTAAGAATCCACAAATAAGGTCTACGTGTCCTGTCCTCTTAAATTAAAATCACAGGAGACGATTGGTATCGCATAAAACACTTTCTTGGGGGCGTTTCTTTTAGTTTCGCATATAGAACAAAGAGACACCAAAATTTCTATTGCATTTTTTGGAATGTAGTACTTACGAGGGATGATATTTATGTATCAGGAACTGACCACATATAGAACAATATTTAAAAAGTAATTACAAAATTTATCAATGGAACTCCTTGGCTGTAGAATTACTATTGTGGCGACATTTTGAAAATTGCGTGTCTTTATTACCATGGATTTGATTAGTGAAAATTTTCGTGCAATGATTTATTACGACTTTCGGCGTGGTTTAACTCAAAAACAGTGCATTGTACAACGCACTTCGACTTTTGAGGATGAAGCACCATCGGAAACCACTGGTTTAGCGAGTTTAATCGTGGACAGTCTATGCTCATGGACGAAATTAAAGAGGGTCGCTCTATATCGGTTGTTGTACCACAAAATATCAATGCTGTATGGGAACTAATAATGCAAGATCGTTATGTTACGTATCACGAGATGAAAGCGTCCCTGGGCATAAATATGACGTGTATACGTAAGAGATTACACGATTTGCTTGTAAATAATAGACGTAAAAAATATTTTTCGCCTTGGATTCCGTACAACTTGAGCATTGATCAAAAATAGGCAATTGTGGATTGGTGCAAAAAAAAATGATAGTAAAAAACAATCATGCTGCGTCAAAAGCTGTTTATGATATCTAGACATATGACTCCGAAACTAAATATGTAACAGTAACGGTGTGGATGTTCCAAGATGAATCGAACTCAACAAAAGTGATTTATGCCAAAAGCACTTTGAAGCAAATGTTCGCCTGTTTTTTTGTATACACGTGGTTACAGTGCGACTATATAATCGCAAAACGGTTCATTGGGAGTAGTAACCCGATCATTTGATTGCTAGAACTCTTTGAAGAAATAATAAAAGAACAACCGACAACGCAGAATTATTCTTCATTATGACAATGCTAGCTGTCACACGTCGGCCGAAACAACTTTGTTTTTGGAAGGTCAAAATATCGAATTGATGAGTCATCCACCATAAAGCCCCGACTTAGCACCCAACGATTTCTATTTATTCCCAAGCGTGAAGAATAAATTACGTGGTCAACGTTTTTCGAGCCGCGAAGAGGCCGATGAGGCGTTATAAATGCTCGTTTTGGAGATACCTCAGCCAGAAACGAAAAAAGTGCTATAAAAATTAATTTAAGCATATGCAAAAGTGCATTGATCATCATGGCGAATATTTTGAAAAGCAATAAAACCATATTAAATGATGGATGTTTGTTCCTTTTTGATATTCCCGAAACATGAATAACAGCCTTGATATTATTTATGTCGTTATTATGTGGTCTCGTCCACCAGGGCTGTAGTATCTATGAATATCTGTTAAGACATCAAAATTCTATTCTCTGGCTAAAATCCATGATGTCAGTAGTTGTAAAGCTTTTAAAAATTAAACAGTCTTCTTTTGCAATTGTCATAATATTGTATTTGCTCATCCGGTGATAATCCATGACAGTTCTTCGTTATCCAGAATTCATGGTCACTTTGATTTTTGTATGTCGTTTATAACTTCAAAGATGTTTTTTGGTGTGTCCAAGCTTTTCGATGAGATTCTAGAAAGATAAAACAAAAATCACTTTTGTAATATGTCCTTAGTTGTTAAATAATTAAACAATCGTTCCAAACAAATGGATAATCACACACAATCTTAAATAATCACAAAAAGAACAATAATAAACCACTCAATAAATTTCAATAAACTATGATAAAAGTCATTATGAAATCTTTAACATTTACATCAAAATCACTACAATTGAGTCCATAATAAAACAACATTCCACTAGAGTCCGGGTCGATGGTATTCACGACTCGCTTAGTTGAAAGAACGCGCGTCCGTCTCAACCACAGGCCGAATAGTAATGCCGCTGGCACTAAGCCAAAACATAGAACAAAGAACTAATCATAAGATTGCATTATATATAAGAACGGCCAGAAGTGATTTCTAAGAATGCTTCACTGCACCGAAAAAGACTCTTTGTAAAACCACAAGCTAATTGTTAATGTAAACATTGCCTTGAGTTTCGTGCGTCACCTATTAAGCTTATCAGTATCCCGTGACGTCCTTAGTCGTTAAATAATTAAACAATTCACAAACAAATGATAATTACGAAAAAAAATACAAAAGGAACCTGATACTGTCCGTTATATTTAATATTATCGACAAAAATTTTCTTTAGCATTTAATCTGCTCCAGTCAGTTGCAGCTATATTAACATTATTTTTGTCACTAGACTTTTACATTGTTTCCACTAATTTTTTACAATCAATCAATTAAACACAGTCTAACTGTGACAAATAGTAACAATATTGTTGCTTCCCGACCATTGGATATATAAGAACGAGAAAAGCACAGTCCCGCGCTCAAAAACGGCCGCAGTAAAATATGTGCTAAAATAGACAATTTACAACTCATTGCATTCAGTGTAGTTTCGTCGCACCTTCCGTTGTGACGTCGAAGTTCTCTTAAAAAAAAAAATAACACTTAAAAGCTATGAAAAAGGATGGTGTTTCTTATTTTCGATAAGCAAAATTCGTTTTATTTATAATAAATACTCAATCACGTATTGTAATGAGTATTCGATGAGTATTTCGTATTTCTTCATTTAAAGTAGCATCAAAAGTGAAGAAACCGACTTAAAGAAATAGACCTAAGCGACAACGGTCTCGTATTTCTATGTCACATTATTAGGTCGCTTAACAATAGAGACCCTGTTTTTATATCTACTAATGGAGTCACCTTTTATTTATCGTTTCATATTATTTTATTCGATAATATATATAAAGATTTAATAAATAATATTAAACCACTCCATTGATCACGTATAATTTGTAAAAAATAGGACTTTTTTTTTCAATAGCAAAATGATTATTATTTGTTCTTTTTACATTTAAAATATAGTTTAAAAAAACTAAAAAACACGCTATTAAAGCACACCAAACTAAAAAGTAAAAATAATTCTTAATATGAGCTGAAAAATTATGAACAATGACGAAAAATACTAATATTATTGTGGAAAACGTGTGGGTTGCTCTATATACGAAAAAAGTGGCATAAAGCACCCTATGTCAATATACCCTTTTATAACTCAAGAACGGTTTCACCGATTGTGATGAAAATAATTAATTTGTAAACAGTAAGATCATGTGATTGCACAAATGATAGATACTGTCTATCTGTTTGTCTGTATGTTCTTTTATAACTATAAAATGTTTGATAAATGGAAATGAGACGGCTTTTATGTTGACAGTGAAAGAAATTTATGAAATGAAAACTGGATATGATTTTCAAGTACATTTTATACAAATAATTGGTTTAATTATTATGGAACGGTCGCTGGTAGCTAGAAGCTTTGACTTAAGATCAAAAGATTCTAACCACGACCGAATAAATCAATGTGCTTTTAAGTTAGGTCAACATGAAGGCACAATTGAGGCATAAAACGTGTGCCGCTTTGTGCCTCAGAGAACATGTTAATCTGTTAGTCGTGGGTGTTGTCATCGTATTGGTGACAGTGGTTCTAATAGGCTCCAATCCGCATTGAGTCAGCGTGGAAGGTTTACGGTTTTGAGCCCTTCGATGTGAAACAAAATATTGTATTAGGGTATGGGTTCACAGTGGATATTTACTCCACAAAGCCTGACACAAAAATTAGTATGAATATTTCATGTATAAAGGGCACGCTTTTATATTACATACATCAAGTAATGGAATAGTTTATTAAATAATGTAAAATGAAAACAATAATTTTATAAACGGAGAAAAGAGATTTGTTAAAATTTTGCAAGCGCACGTTCACGGTTATAATGCTATGATGAACGATATGAGCAAACGAGCTTATTAGTTTAAACAATACACAATTAATTAACGCGGATGAGGTTGATCGAGGCGAATACGCTTTGCTGTAGACGAGAAAGGTGCAGGATTTTAATTTTAAAATGATTTGTAACAAATGTAATAATATTCAAAAAGTAGTAAATAGAAGCCCTAGTTACCAATATAAATTAAAATCGATATTATACTAATTTTTTGGATCGAAGTTTTTTATGGCACGTTACACTCGAGCGCTCGGCGAATGAGAGCTACAAAGTGTAAGCTCAACAAAAATGCCGACTGCTGTTGCTTTAGTTAACATTTCGAAAGCTCTTCGTTGTCATCAATTTTATAAATTCGCCAACGTCCATACCACCCTGAATACACCAGCTCTCTTCCGATGATCGCAGTTAAGCAGCGTCGGGTGCGGTTAGTACTTGGATGGGTAACCGCGTGATGATGGTACTTTTTGTTGTTGCATGCTTTTTATGGCATTTTATAATAAAATATTAATTATAATTTTATTGTAATGTTTTATTGCCATTCTTTCTTTTTCTATTGTATTTTGTTTCATTTAAGGTATGTATATATATTATATATATATATATATATATATATATATATATATATATATATATATATATATAATACATATATGCAAGTTGTTTTTTCCTAAAATATTAAACTTAGTAAAACTTTAATAAATTGACGGCGCTGAGCATTCAATTTTAATTATAAATACTTTAGAAATATTTCTATTCATTTACATATATTATTGATTTTTTATAATTAGCGTAATCAATTTCATTGTTATTATTGAATTAGTAAAAATATTTAATAAAGCGAAAAGACTGGCAACCTGGTGTTCCAAACTCACTTCAACAGTTTTTATTCTTACGATGTAGACATCATTCATGAAATAATTACACATTAGATGCCATGAGGTTTTCACCTAACCTAAAATGATACCTAATTAATTTTTAACTTAACTCATTAAAAAAAACAGGACTCCTTTCTGTATCATTTATTTATTGTTAAAATTAAAAATAAACATATTTTGATCTTAAAAGTATTACAATTATGATTCATATTGGTGTGCATTTGTTTTAAATAACAATTAAAATATTATTCTTCTATTTATCAGATACTGCCTCGCCAAGTTATGCTTAAAAATCACAAAAAATATTTAACTGTAAATTAGGTACCTATTGTATATTTAATGTATGACCGTCACCCCCCCATTGGTCAGACGACATGATAAAATTTTTTCAATTTTTGACAAAAGTCCCATAGCAATATTTTTTTTACGTATTATGTTGCCTTAAATTAGGTTTTGACTTCGTTTTTCAATAAAATAATTCTTTTTTGCAACGTCCGTTCATCGGCACCATATCTGTGTGGCTGGCGGAACTAAAAGATAAATATTGAGTTGTGTTCGGTAAAACAAATTAGTAAAAATGATTTTTTTTAAGATATCTGAAATATATAAAATACGATCAATATATGAAATACAGAACATGGATTTTGTGTTTATCCATTTTCTTTATAGGTGGTCAATAGGATATCAAAAAACCGATATTATTTCGGATTGTGCATTTTTAAATTAGTTACCTTGGTAAACAATAGCTTAAATAACAATAAAACATTTATAGAATAATTTTAAATGGAGCTTTAAGCTCCTTCCGTCACTCACATGAAACTGACTGATTGTGAGTGATTATTAATGTGTTGGAACTAGTTAAAATACCATACAAATTTTCGTTAATTTTTTCCTGTTTGTTGGAACTAGTTAATCTTCAATACCACAACAAATTTTCGTCGGAATTTCACAGATAACTAGAACTTAAATTAGGACAACATGTAGGCTTTATTTTACAAACATCATATCGTAACAAAATACTCCATCATTCTAATGCTCGTGCAATTTACGAAATAATCAGAAATATGAAAAAGAAAACAATTGTTGATAAATAAGGGTTTAGTACCTAACAATATATATAATTATAATAAACAGAGACTACTTGTATAAATATACAGACAAATGAACGACCGATTAGGCCGACAGTCTACATAAAGTTTTTTTAATTTCTGCCATAGTCTATTCATTAAATTTTTAATACATAATATTATGTAGGATAACATATTTTATGCTGTTATTTGCGTTTTCATCAATCATAATACACCATGAGTCACTTTGTAGTGCCCAATGCCATTTACCAATAACAAGTGTCATAACGGCGTCGCATTTTAAAATGATGAATACTCTAACCATACCGTTTGGATATTTGTATTTCACATTTGCCTAGGTATCAAAATGGTACTAAATATATAATAAAGAGGCCAAAATGAACTACCATTCAGACGTCAGAATGGCGGGACATTTTCAATCTCAAATATTTCTGAAAATAAGCAGGTACTAATTCCAGGATGAAAGGTACTAACTAGTACTAATTAGGTATCTACTAAATATTTGTTTATTAGCTATTTCTGTTTAGTTTTGTAAATCGCACAAGCTTTAATAAAGTGGGGCGCTTTAATCGACAAATACTCCTCAACGGTTCGCCTTCAATATGTGGATTTCACATAAATTTAGGTAGTAAATATCTAGCAACTCATTCAAACAATCAGACCAAAATCTCCCGCTATTCTGAGGTCAAGATGGTGAGTTTTTTTCAATATTAGATATTTTTGAAAATATGCAGGTACTAATTCCAGGTTATTTGCAACATTTTTAGATACGTTTGACAGAGCAAAAAAAAAATAATAAGACATCAAAAACCTTTGAAATTGTTCCGGCAAAATGATTACGGAATCCCGTTTTATCCTTCCGCATGACACCGTGAAACCGACCTTTGGTTTACAACACGGGCACATCGGGAATGAAGTAATGTTTATGTTTAATTGAAGTTGTATGCAGCTCAGGGGCGTGCGGGCGGCGCAGCCAGCGGGCCCGTGGCCGTATCGCGTTTCTGGTAAAATTGTTTGAGTGAGTTTGTGTAGCATGCCGCCGATTTATCGAAAATATCAGGAATTTCACAAAATGCACTGTGTTTAAGATATTCGTTTAATGTATGTTTAAGGTGATATAAGATCAGAATATAATAAATTGTACTTTTTTTTTTTTAATAAATACGGCATTATTAGTATTGTTTATTTTGCCGTCGCAATCCATCCGGGCTTATAGTTGCGGAGATTTGTAATAAAGAATAATAATTTATGAATCTGCATATTTGGCTCGCATAGATCTATCTGCATAGAACGAGTTTCGAATGTGTGAAATTTATAGATATCTAGTAATTATTTATTTTTGTCTAATTCTTTAATACTTCTACGCTACACAATCAGTATATTCTCGTAACAGAGTGCTCAGCTCACTGTGGTGACCATCAAAAAATTATATTCGTTCATACGATTACAAAACTCGTTCATTTTATCGGCATAGTTAAAGGTTAGTGTTATCGACGCGAAGGTACAGTACAACGCACGAAACCGCCGCTGCGAAGTTAGTCACGAAAGCGTCGCAATGGCGTAAAATAGAAACGCGAGGGAGTAGACCAAAAGACTGGGAGAACTTCAGAACGGCAAAGTTTGGTGCGTTATACTGTACATCAACACCGAGCGTTTAGTTACTTGCCGGATAAACATGTCTCAGATTTGGCTAGTATGTGACGTACCTATCGTTTATTTAACAAACATTTACACTTTTAATGGTTATATATCGTTCAATCGTAAATTCGAGTTAACTTTATGAGTTCCAGTTATAAGGGTTTTAATACAATTCTTTAAAAATCCTTGGTATTATTATTGGACAATGGAGTAAGATGTTGAAAAGAATAAGTTATTTCTAGAGAATCCGAAATTAATGAGAATCCGCTACCTGTATCGATAGGAGCTCTATGCGAATAGATTTACGGTTTTTAAAGACTATTGCACGAATCAGGTATAAAAATAATTTTGGTTCATTGTTTTTCTGTTTTTAAGCTTTTTTTTTTTATGACAGCGTATCACCTCTGACCTCTTTTTCCGCAAAAATCACATTTCTTTGCATGACACTGATATTTTTTATGATTTTCTCTACAGACGTAACACTTGATGGATCTATGTTTAAATAGAATATTACATTGTTGATAGTTATCGTTATGAGTTGTTCGTTTTCATATCTTCGAAGGAGAACCGTGCCAGAGGGCAGTTATAAGTACTTTTGATTTTGTTTCTTGTGAACTTCGCTTGTATTATTTACCATTTTTGAACTTTTAGATGTATAAGTGCGACTGTGTAAAAACACTGTTAAATTGTGACAATTGGAAGCGATTCGCCTCGACTAACGCGCTATTTTACTATCACCTACATTTCTTACAACTATCGAAACCGTTTTTCACTCGGTAAAATTAAGCAATAAATTCTCAATTCTGCATTTCTGCTCGAAATCAACAAATTTCCTTAGTTTTTTATATTTATTACATCTCTCAATAGCCGCACATATATCTCCTAAATTGAAAACTCGAAGTCAATTTACTTTTTCAATCATGCCATTTTCATAACGGCCATTCACGATCGGTACGTAATGACGAATCTTAGCAGAACCCTTGATTTATTAAGAGCCTTAAAAACGAATCCTTTCGTCAGACCATAGCCGAGTATTGGTGTAACACACAGGCGCGGTATCTTTTCCGCCGATGCCGAGGTGATGAAAACCGACCTCATCACCCAGTGGCTCGTGATCGCGTTTCTGATGTTCACTTTTATTTTTAAATTTACTATAAATAATGCACAATCGTATAAATATATCCAAAATGTAATTTATATTCATAAAGCAAAAGCATACTGTTGACTAATCGCTAGCTTATTAACGAATGAGTCTCCCGTTGTTTTGCTCATTTCGCTTGTCTCTCCTTCACGTGGCGGTCGCGCTTTCGAGCCAAAGATCCCCGACAATCGATCGTGTTACACGCAAAATGAGTTTTTAATTGAAAAAATCCTTCTATTGAAGGCCCAGCAGACAAAGTTGTTCCTGGGTCCGAAGAACTCTCTGGCGTCGTGTCCCCACTGCGGCGCTCGGGTGCGCACCGCCATCAAGCACACCTCCACTACGCGCACCCACATGATCGCTGGACTCTGTTGCTCGTTCTGGTAAACCGCTTATTAAATTTCCATTTATGTCTGCTATGGAATGTTAATGTAAAATAACGGTGTATATTCTTACTAATATCGCAAAATAAATAGATCTAATATATAACAAAGACACGTACCTACTTTGAGGGTTCCATACACTCCTTGATATGACATTCTTATAGTTTCGTCCGGTCCATCCTTATGTCACAGCTTTTAACTTAACCACTTTTTTATGGATTTTGAAGAAATTATACTAATAGGTAATATAGATTAAATCCCATATATTTATTACATAAAGTTACAAAAATAAATTCGGGTATCTTTCCATAGATAAATTGAGATGA